GACCCCCCAAAATCCCCTTTTTTTACCCAAAATCACCCCAAATCCCTCCCAAACTTCCCCCAAATCCCATTTTTTCTCCCCAAAATCCCAATTTTTCTCCCCAAAATCCCAATTTTCTCCCCAAAATCCCTATTTTTACCCCAAATCTCCATTTTTTCTCCCCAAAATCCCCTTTTCTTACCCAAAATCACCTCGAATCCCTCCCAAACTTCCCCAAATCCCATTTTTTCTCCTCAAAATCCCTATTTTTTCCCCAAAATCCCATTTTTTTTCCCTGAAATTCCATTTTTTTTCCCAAAATCCCCATTTTCTCCCCAAAATCCCATTTTTTTCTCCCCAAAATCCCCATTTTTTTTCTCAAAATCCCTATTTTCTCCCCCAAATCCCCATTTTTTCCCCAAATCCCCATTGTTTCTCCCCAAATCCCCATTTTTTTCCCCAAATCCCCTTTTTTCTCCCCAAAATCCCATTTTTTCTCCTCAAAATCCCCTTTTTTTTACCCAAAATCCCATTTTTTTTCCCTGAAATTCCATTTTCTTTCCCCAAATCCCCATTTTCTCCCCAAAATCCCATTTTTTTCCCCAAAATCCCCTTTTTTCTCTCCAAATCCCCATTTTTTTTCCCAAAATCCCCATTTTTTCCTCCCCCAAATCCCCATTTTTTCCCCAAATCCCCTTTTTTCTCCCCAAAACCCCCATTTGTGCCCCAACCCCCCCAGGCCGTTCCAGCCCCCGGCCCGGGACGAGGAGTCGGAGTCGCAGCGCAAGGCCCGGAGCCGCCTGATGCGGCAGGCGCGCAGAGCCACCCAGGTGATCCCAAAAACACCCAAATTCACCCCAAAAACTGCCCCAAAACTGCCCCAAAAACCGCCGGGAAATCAGCCCCAAAATCCCCTGAATTCACCCCAAAAACTGCTCTCAAACTGCTCCAAAAACCCCAGAAATCACCCCAAAATCACCCCAAAACTGCCCCAAAACCAGCCCCGAAATCAGCCCAAAAACTGCCCCAAAAACTGCCCTGAACTCAGCCCCAAAAACTGCCCCAAAATCCCCGGAATTCACCCCAAAATCTGGCCCCAAAATCCAGCCCAGGGCCCGGAGCCGCCTGGTGAGGCAGGTGCTCAGAGCCACCCAGGTGGGACCCAAAAACTGCCCCAAATCACCCCAAAAACTGCCCCAAATCACCCCAAAAACTGCCCCAAAACTGCCCCAAAACCCGCCTGGAAATCAGCCCCAAAATCCCCTGAAATCACCCCAAAAACTGCTCTCAAACTGCTCCAAAAACCCCGGAAATCACCCCAAAATCAGCCCAAAAATCACCTTAAAATCTCCATAAAATCACCCCAAAATCTGCCCCAAAACCCCCTGAACTCACCCAAAAAGTTGTCCCCAAAATGATCCCAAAATCTGCCCCAGAATCCGCCAAGAATCCCCTGAAATCACCCAAAAATCCACCCCAAAAACTGCCCCAAAATGATCTGAAATCACCCTAAAAAATGCCTCAAAATCCTCTGAACTCACCCCGAAATCCAGCCCAAAATCCCCCAAAAACTGCCCCAAAATCGCCCAAAAATTCTTTCCCCTCACGTTTCCCGCCATTTTCTCCCCTCACACTTTTTCCCCGTTTTCCCCTCACATTTTTGCCATTTTCCCCTCGCATTTCCCCCATTTTCCCTTCACATTTTTTGCCATTTTTCTCCTCACACTTTCCCCTCTTTTCTCCCCTCACATTTTCTCTCATTTTCCCCTCACGTTTCCCCCATTTTCCCCTCTCATTTACCTCAATTTCTCCCCTCACATTTCCTCATTTTTCCCCACGTTTTTCTTCCATTTTCCCCTCACAATTCCTGCCTTTCCTCCCCTCAAATTTTCTTCTTTCCCCTCACGTTTTTCCCTTCACATTTCCTTCCATTTTCCCTCCAATTTCTCCTCACATTTCTTGCCCTTTCCACCTCACATTTTTGCCATTTTCCCCTCACATTTTCCCCCATTTTCCCCTCACGTTTCCCGCCCTTTTCTCCCCTCACATTTCCCCAATTCCCTCTTCACATTTCCCTCCATTTCCCCTCACATTTCTCACCCTTTTCCCCTCACGTTTCCTGTTCTTTTCTCCCCTCACATTTCCCCTTTTTCCCCTGACATTTCTCACCATTTTTCGCCTCATGTTTTTCCCCCATTTTCCCCTCACGTTTCCCCCAATTATCCTCACATTTTCCTCCATTTTCTCCTCACGTTTCCCGCCCTTTTATCCCCTCACGTTCGCCGCCATTTTCCCCTCACATTTTCCCCTCACATTTTTCCCCTTTTCCCTCCCGTTTTCCCCATTTTCCCCTCATATTTTCCCCATTTCCCCTCACATTTTCCCCATTTTTCCTCTCACATTTTCCCCATTTTTCCCCTCACATTTCCCCTCACATTTCCCCTCACATTTCCTCCATTTTCCCCTCACATTTTCCCCTCACATTTCGCCTCACATTTCCTCCATTTTCCCCTCACATTTTCCCGCTCTTTTCTCCCCTCACATTTCCCTCCATTTTCCCCTCATGTTTTCCTGCCCTTTTCCCCTCACATTTCCCCCATTTCCCCCTCACACTTTACCCCCTTTACCCCTCATGTTTTTGCCATTTTCCCCTCACATTTCCCTCCATTTCCCCTCACATTTCCCCTCATGTTTTTCCTCCTTTTTCCCCTCACGTTTCCCTCTCTTTTCTCCCTTCGCATTTCCCCATTT